AGCAGGAAAAACCATTTACTCCTTCCTCGCAGAGACACTGGTCTGGCCAGGGCCAGGTCCGAGTGCGGCTGTCCGCGCCGCTCCCATCGGATCTGGCCTCTGGAAAAACCAAGGACTTCTGCTGCCACGCTTGGAGGTGCTAATCAAAAGTGCTGGCCGGAGGGGAAGCCCTCCTCCTTGGCGCACGCCGGCGCCCTCCGCCCTGCCCGCCGCCCGGATCGGGGAAGAAATGGAGTCCACCTGGTTTTGGGGATGGAACAAGACGGGCAGCAGAAGGAAAAATACTGAAAGAAGAGCGCTGAACGCCTTCCAGAGAAACTCCACCGCCAGCGCAGGCTCCGCCAAGGGACCGGGAGGACTCCCCGCCGGCCCGCCAAACGTCAGTTTGACTTCGGACTTGGGTTCTCCCATCTGGCAGAGCACGGGATTAATCACGGGCAAGCCACCGGCTCTAGCTTGGCACCTACCTTCTCCTGGCGCTCATATCCACCGGCTCGTCGTTAATGTTCTCCTTGCCCGGCCTCCCTGCAGTCCTGCCATCCCCATGGGGCCGAAGGCTCCCGTTCAGCTTCTCTTCGTAGACTTTCACACCATCCTGTTTCACCGGGAGCTCGTGGGGCACCTCGATGCCCGAGAGGTCTTTCCTCTTCAGCAGTGCCAGCATCTTCAGGCGCTCCATGGCCTCGTGTCCTTCCATTTTCAACCTCTTCGCCAGGACGTCATCGCGATCGTCCGCTTGGTCCAAGCTCCGTTTCAAGAGGTTGAGGCGCAGAGCATCTTCCGTCATTCTGTCCATCCTGCGGGACAAGAGGGTGACATGAAGGACACAAATCGGGATCACGGCAAACGGAAAATGGCTGCGGTAGACCCGGCTTAACTCCCCGGGGGCCGGCGGGGGCCCTCCGAGCCCGGTTCCCCCCTCGGGGAGCGCCGACCTCCCACGCGCCTACGTGCGGTGACGTGCCGGCAGCGGCGCTCCGCGATTTTTAGTCCCGATCCCAAACCAGTCCAGCGAGGGAGATTCCCAAGCAGACGGAAGCGCACGCACCCCATGGGCCAGGGCACCCCAAAGCCCATGAGAACGGGTCCACGATCCCTCGTTCAGCATTCCCACCCCATCGGCTGCGACTCAATGGGATTTACTGGAAAGAGGAGCCAGAAAACACTCGAGTCATGCAGGACACGAGGACAGCTTCGCTCGTCTCACACCACATGTGCTCAGCCTGATGTTTCCATAAGGCTTCATCTCCAGGCTTCGTGCCGTGGACTTTTGTTTTTTGAGGGCACCCACGGCATGGTCTGAGCCCCCCCGCTATCCGTACGAACCCCACGGCACGCCGAGGCTGGTAGGGAGCTTCCAAAATACAGAAAATCCCCGACCACGCGGATTTTTCCTGCTCTTTCTACGCTCTGTTAGTCGGCGAGGAAGGCAAGGCACCTTCTCCTTCCCAGGATGGAGCATCCCCACCCACGCTCCCTTCTCCATCTTCCCCGGCCGCCCGCCTGCCTCTCCTCCAGGTGCAAAAAATGCCCCGTGGCAAACAGATGCAGGAAAAAAAAATAAAAAAAAAAATAGGGAAAAGAGCCACGGAGCCCATCCCAACCCCATCTCTCTGCTCCCAGGCTGATAAGAAACGAGCTACAACAATAAAATAAGCCAAGGAAGCTCCACCTGAAAACATGGAAAGACCAGCTCGGCGAGGTCTCTGCCTACCGACACGCAGAGCGGGAATGGGAGGTGACAAACGACCGGGGAACGAGTGGGAATTAAATTAAAACGCGGCCGTCCCGAGAACGTCCATCGCTCCTTCTGCTCGTAAGGTCCACGCGCCCCGGGCTCAAAGACGTGGCCAAATCTTGGGCACCTCGGCTCCTCCACGCTCCAGGTGGAGCTTCCTAAAGTTGGCTCCAAGTCGCTCACGAGATAAAGCTTCGCCGCGCCAATTTCCTGCCAGGAAAACGCTCCTCCGGCTCGGTTCTAAATCCCCTGTAATGACACATCTTCCGAAGCACGGCTGCCACCCAAGTTCAACCACGGCATCGGTGAGGTCCCAGGGGTACGGACCGCGCCGGAGAACACTCACTCTGGAAAAAAAAACCACGGGGTGCCGTCGCGGCAGGCGGCGAAACAAATGCAAATCCGCACCGCGATAGGAAAAAAATCCGGGGGGAGCCTCCGGCACAGCCCGATCTCGGAGAGGTTGCCACGTTCGGGGTGAGCACCTCAAGGCTTCTTGGGACTCGCCAGGCTGGTCCCTCTGCAGGAAAAGGCACGTCTGCCACGGCCAAATATAGCCGGGCAAGCGCGGGCAGGCCGAGGGAGACGGATGAAACGCGGCTCTCCGCGCCCAGCCGGAGAGGTGACCCCGGGTTACGCCGAAGCGGTGAGCGGCGGCGGGTTGTTTGAGACACCACGGGAGCAGGAGAAGCATCACCGCACCCGGCTCTGGATCCGGCTGCTGGGAAAGCGCCGAGCTCCAGTTAACTCAGGCCATGAAAGAGTCGCCGCGGCTGCGTCC